CATATCGCAGTAGGGCTGCTCTGTACGGACACTGGCTTATGAGGATTCATTTTTGCTTTGCGTTTTGTCATGCTCTTCTAATCAGCGTGCACTGAGGAGGGAGCCTATGTGCACTGTACTCAGGGAGGAGACAGAGTGCAAAAAGGTGAGGAGCTGTACACTGACGTGAGGCAGGTGGACAGGTAGGATCATGTTTTATAGTTTAACCTGCTTTGAGACGAGGTCACACTCTGTTGTGGACAAGCCGTCAGCAGTGATAAGTGCTGTGCAGTGTCCGCTGGCTCCAAACAAGTGCACGAGCTACAGTGAGAAGCCCCGCTCTCCTGCACACAGGTACAAGTCTGTTGCCAACAACAGCGGCAGAAATGAAAAGTGATCACACTCACTGAGTGTCAGACCTCGAGTCAAGACCGAGTCCAAGCACCTTCAAGACTGAGACAAGACTGAGTCCCAGATGAGACCAAGACCGTGAAAAAAACGGGAGGAGACAAGGACGAGACCTGCCTCCAGACCAAGACTGGTCTTGAGTACTACAACACGAATATCTGTACTGACAGAAGACATGTTTTTCTCAAAAAACTTACATGACCTTTAATGTGTGGAAGAAACTTACAGGGTCCATATTACGCTATTTTCTGATCTATTATAATGTAGTTTCCTCATCACAAACAGACCTGGAGTTGTGTTTTGTTTTATTCACACACGTTTAACTCACAAACCCTGTAGATTTAGGCTGAGTTCTTCTCTCAAACAGAAAACTGCTGTACCTTGTGATGTCTTGTGGTAAGACAGGAAGCGCTCCACTGACTTTTTAATCTCCACACACCTTCACTAGAATCATCTGGATAATTTCAGCCCTGGAATTGCCAATCTCTAGTGAACTTAAGTTAAAATGTAGCTGTTAACTTGAAAACTACCACTACAAGGAGAAACCGAGCATTTTGAGCTTTGCAGACAGACTAATAAACCAGGATTACTCGAACATGTGTGAATGACACAAAACACAACTCCAAGTACGTTTTTAATGAGGCTGCAGCATTGTAACATGGTTTAAAGCTCATAGGAGTACATTTTGTGTAATATAGGATCTTTAAATTAAACTAAAACACTATGATTATTAAAGGTGCGTAGTGTAACTTTTCTGGTGGAGTCAAACGCTTTTCTCCATGGAGATGTTATTACTTTGTGTGGATTAAACCTTTCTATCTTCATGGAGACCAAATCAGATCAAGTTACAGGTCAGCTCTGTGGAGAGACAACCCCACTCACAGAATGTTTGTTTGTCTATGTATTTTAGAGATAAAAAAGTTAATACCATCGAAACATTTCTATTAAAATTTAATAAGGATGCAATACCAAAAAAGACATTTATTTCTCTTTGCTATGCACAATTAATGGAATCAAAACCTTCCACCACTGGGAATTCCAGGACTCACTGGGAAGCAGATATGGGGATTGAGTTTAGTGCTGACACTTGGTTAAGAGCTTTTAGGGTGGTCAAAAAAAGTTTTACTTGTAATAAACTCAGGGAGAACCAGTATAGAATTTTACACAGACTTCAACGTACTCCTCAATTCTTGCATAAGATTCACCCTCAATACTCACCTTTGTGTGTAAAATGTAAAAACATTGTGGGCACTTATTATCATTGTATCTGGCAGTGTCCGTTGATACTCAGGCTTTAGAGGAATGTTGCTACAGAGCTCCGCTACATTTTTCATCGAGCTGTCCCCGTGGAGCCTGTTTTATTTCTTTTTGGCCTGTCTGAGAGGCTGCCTGTGTTACCAGGGCAGATGACATTACTACGTAAACTTTTACACCTGGCAAGAAGATGCATCCTGCTTCAGTGGATACAGGCAAAACCTCCATCTGTTACACAATGGTACAGAGAGACTTTTAAAGTTTTCCCAATGGAACGCCTCAGTCTTAAAAGGCAATTCAACCACTTTCTATAAAATATGGCAACCCTTTCTGGACCACCTACCTCAGGACTTGGCTGATGTGCTTTATAAAGGAGGCTCCCAATTTGTTTTTAATTTTAATCAAAAATTGTGTTTGTGAAATGTTTATTTCATTTTCATTTTAGCTCTGACTCAGACCTTGTGACAGTCTTTATCCATTTAGTTCTATGCAGACTAAGCTGTGCTGGATTGTATTGTATTGTTCTATTTTGTTAAAAAAGACAATAAATGATTGTTCAAAAAAAAAAAAAAAAAAAAAAAAAAAGTTAATAAATGTAAGGTAGAGCTGTTACTGTGGAACATTCTAGACAAAGCAATGACATATCCATAGAAACAAGCAGGTGACAGACTCCCAACCAAAAAGTTACATAGTGCACCTTTAGGATAAGAAAACGTTAACATTAAAATGCCATTGTGGTTCAGATTTGTCACTCTTTCCTAGTGTAAAGGGTTAAACTTGTAATCAGATACTGTAGGAAACAGACTTAAAATAGTGTGTTTTGGTAACAGGCGTTGGGGAAACACATGGGAGTGATTGGAACATGGGGCAAATAAATACTTTAAAGTTTTATTATCAGCTCTGATTGAAGGCTCTTTTGTTTATAGCGTTGGACAGAGAAAAGTATTTCCTATGCATCGCCTTCAAAAGTAACAAAAGATCCTCAGACAGTCTCAGCAAATCTGAAACGCACTCCGGAGCAGCGTGATGAAACAATAACTAAAGATAAAAGAAATCAGAGTAAATTTTTCCTATTGATACTTTGCAGTGATATCGAGCCGGGGGTGTTCTGTTAATTTACCATCTACTTAAAGGCAAAAATACACAATTTTTTTTTTTTTCTTAATATGCATCTATATTCTAAATTCATACATTAAGGGGTTAACAGCCACATCAAATCAATAACATCTGCAGCCTCTTACCACCTAAAAATCAAAGGTATACTGTCTAAAGCAGACTTGGAGACACTTATCCACGTGTTTGTCTCCAGTAGATTAGATACTGTAACGGCCCGCTCACTGTGAAACAGCTGCAGTACATCCAGAATGCTGCAGCTCAGGTCCTGACTAGAACTACCAAGTATGAGCACATGCGTCCTGTGCTCAGGTCTCTGCATGGCCTCCTGTGGCTCAGAGACTTTAAAGCTGCTCTGCTTGTACAAGTCTCTCCAAGGATTAGCACCAAAGTACATCTGTGACAGTCCAATGAGGTTCATTTGTTCTTCCGATATTTTATGTTATGGTTCTTTTTTCAGACCAAGAGTTTGTTTTCATACCTGACAGTTTGGACTGCTCTCTGTGCTCTTCCTCCGAGTGGTCACGTGATGTTGTTGTGACGTGTCCAGTCAGATGATTTAAACAGGTTTTGGCGCTGTCTTCCCACCAGTGGAGGCAGGACAACAGCGCGATCTGTAGTTCAACTTCCTCAGGACACAATCCCAGGTGTGTGAGAGAAAAAAAGCCCTCTCATCCTGATTTATAGTCGGAAGTTGGACTACAGATGGCGCTGTCATCCTGCCTCCACTGGTAGGAAGACAGAGCCCAAACCTGTATAAATCAGCTGAGCGGACATGTCACAGCAACAGCACGTGACCACTCTGAGGAAAACCGCAGGGAGCAGTCCAAACTGTCAGGTATGAAAACTACCTCTTGGTCTGAAAAAAAGAACCTCATAACATACATCTCTGACACGTTAATGCTGTATGAACCATCTCACACTCTGAGCTCCGGCTGGTGCCCAGAGTCAGGAGTAAACAGGAGTCAGCATTTCACATTCATGAAGCTAAAACCTGGAACAGTCTGAACATGTGAGACAGGACTCTACTTTGACTCTGTTTAAATCCAAGCTCAAAACGATTCTGTTTAGCTGTGTATGACTTAAAGGTTTTCATTTTTCATTCCACACTCTTCTCTTCTCTCTCATTTAATGTCTCTCTTTTTCATTTTATGATGATTATTTATGTTTTGATCTGTTTGTATTGTGATTTTAATGTCTTTCATATTCAGTAAAGCACTTTGAATTACTTTGTGTACAAATTGTGCTGTACAAATAAACTTACCTTGCCTTGCCTAATGCCAGCTAGAGTAATGTTGTTTAATATTATATAATAATATAAGGACAGCACAAATCTGCTTACATGTTGTAGTTTCAGCTAAGTCTATTCTTTATGGTCAAATTGTGTTAAAATAAAGATCAGATTAAAGTTTATTCAAATGTTCAAAAGTTGAACCTAGTCATTTTTAATAGCGGCTAGACCTAAGAACTCACTGTATTACAACAAATCTGTATTTTAACAGTATGAATTTTAGTCGCAACTGTCTGGATTGAATATTGTCGGCCTATAGAACGCTGTGATGTCATCTGTAACCCATCAATTTTCCTTTTCCTTTTGTCTGGAAAGTTCAGAATAATCTTCCTGTATTCTTTATTCACAGGGATACCCGTTCAAACACGCCTGGCCAATCAGATTTCTTTATTTCAATGAAGGAGCTCATCGGTCACCTATCATTTTGAAAGAGTTTAGCGCTTCGCTCATCGGCCGCGTCTCAGTTTTCTTTCCTCACTTCCTTTTCCTTGATTCCTCTCCTCGAGCCTCCGTTTTTCAGCTGTCAGTCAAATGTGTCATATTATGTGGTGTCCCAAAGAAAACCACAGAATGAAGGAGTAAACATTGGGGAAGCTTCAGGAGGCAGACATAAAAGAATCTAAATTTATTGGACTCGGTGAAAAGTTTAGATAATTTCTCTTCGCTGTGTGACTTCCTCACACATTTCCTGCAGAATCGAGGAAAGGAATCAAGACGAAGGAAGTGAGGAAAGAGAAATGAGACGCAGCCACTGAGTCTGGAAAATTGGTAGTCATATTAGATGGACCCTGCATGTCCCTGTTTGGCTAATCCACCTGTCAATCACACCCATCTGAACTCAACGATCACCAGACTCACATCCTCCTGAAGTATTGGAGAAGTGTGTATTTAAGTTTCAAATTTAAGCATAGTTGCAACACCCAAAACCCCAAACCCCATGTAAACGAGTACATACATCATTCCAAGTGAAATACTCGACGTCTTCTCCGTGGACTAGTGACCGCAGCTCTCCGTGCTGAGGAAACTCTTTCACCACGAACTCCAGATGGGCCAGAGCGTAGAAAGGGTGGGAGATGTTGACCACAGTGGAGTCTATGGTCCGGGTCAGGCCCTCCTTCACCGTGATGTTGAGTGAATGCACGGGGATGAACCTGGGGACGACATTGATCTGGACCTCCAGCTCCTCCACCGCAGTGAAACCATTACTGACATACACAGTGAAGACGTCTTCTCCCTGTAGCATAAAGATGTGGACTTAAGTTAGTCTTAGATAATACATTTTTGACAGTGGTAAAGAGTTAAATGAATGGCATGGATGCATCATGGATCTATAAGAAGAACTGTCTTGATGGGAGCTTGATAAATACAGCAGCTCTGGTCAGAAGAATTTCTCCCATAGAGTGCAACGTATTTATGTGAACTCAAACTGCCCCTCTTCGGCTGACAGGGCATCAACAGCTTTCACAAAGGTCAGATTTTCTAGGTAAGATTTTTGTATGAACCTTTTAAATGGTCACATTTTATACCGGACTTTTCCACATTCAAGGCACTCAAAGCGCTTTACATCAAGGAACCACTCACCCACTCACACTCACCAGTGTACACAGACACTAGGGGCGAGGTGGGTTAAGTGACTTACTCAACGGCACAGCAGAACAGCATTCACCTGTGGGGGCTGGAATTGTACCGCCAACCTGTGGGTCAGTGGATCTACCGCTCAACCAGTGATGTTTGTGTGGAGAGCAGCATTTGAACTGCCAACCTTTTGCTCTCACTGGTCAGAATGGATCACCAGGTGCACGTTTCTCTTATCAGGGTGAGAGCAGCTAACCCATGTTGAGGAAATACATTTTGAAACAAATAAATTGGCCTCAAGTGCAAATGAGCACAGCCATTGAAATCAATAAGTTCATCACTTACTTCCATGGCTGGGAAACACTAATCATTTGTGGTTCCAGATCCTCCTGAATTCTAACATAAAGTAATAGGGACTGACTCTAAAGACAATAGCAAAATGTTGTACTTTTAATGATTAACCTTTGTAAATATACTCCATCAGGACACCCTCAACTGGCATCTCTTTAGTTTCATCTCGGTGAAATCTACTAAACTGACACAGTACAGTGAACAGTACAGTAACTTATAGTAAACAGCACCACAACAAAATGCTGAATTTTTCAACCTTACTAACAGACCATTTTTACAACAGCTGGAAGTCTTCCCCTGTAGAGTTGTGGGACTTCCGGTTAATCGTTTTATATGCCAAATTGTCTCTGGAAATTTCTCACCTATTCTCCAGCATCTTCATAAATCTGCTCCGTCACCAACTCTTCAACCAACAAGGTCGACAAAGGATAACCATTCTTCCATGAAGAAATTATTCACAACAGTCAAGATAAGAAGACGAAAGCTTAAATGCTAACAAAGACGAACATTAGTGAACTACTTAGCATAGATAGATAGATTTGTGCATTTCAAATACTAGACATGTTCACAGATTACATGTCTAGCATTCAAACTGCATAAATCTCCGTCTATGTTAATATCTACACCATGCAATTGATTTTTTACTTAAATTCTATAATCAGTCTTAGTTAACGAGTCACTTATGTTTTATTAATGACCATAGTGTTAGTTTTGTTCAGTAGTTCACCAATGTTAGTTGTTGTTCGCCTTTAATGTTTCGTCTTTCTTGCCTTGATAGTGGTGGATAAATTCTTCATGGACAAAATATGTCCTTTGTCGACCTTGTTGGTTGAAGATTTGGTGATGGGGCAGATTTTCTGAACCTGGTGAGAAGGCGTGAGACATTTCTACAGACAACTTGCCCTAGAAAAGCATTAACCCTACAGGGCCGGTGTGAAAAAATTCTATGGCCCTGTCTATCAAAACACAAACAACATTAACAGCAGTGAACGTGTATGGGGAGTAGGGGAAAACAGGAAGTTTCAGTCACTCTAAATACAACTTGGAGTGGGTAAATGAGAGGGGGAAACAATTATAACATGGTCAATTAAATGTCTTCTTTAAACCACAGGCACATTACAAGTTTAGTGCCCTTTAAATGACATAAGCAGAACACACTGTGCACACTGACCTGTATAGAAGCAGACACGTAGAGGATGAGTCCCAGGTCGATGTCGTTCTGGGTAAAAGAGTGGATGTAATCGAACTGGGGGGGCTCTGATCCGTCTGAGATGTTCTTCACCACGTGTCCCAGACGAGGAGGTTCTTTCACTGTGAACACCATCTCTGAGGGGAGGATGTCCGCCTGCTCCACCTACAAACACAACACCAGCATGGGTAAGAGGTTTGGAAGAACACATGGGCTCAGTGATAGCAACTTTCAGTAACCTTTTATGATAACCACACTTTTAAAGGTCCCAAATTTGACACTTGTGAGCTTTATGTTGTTACCTCCTCGAAAACATACTGTATTTTCCACACTATAGGGCGCTCTGGATTTTAAGGCGTACAGTCATTGAATGGTCTATTTTTGAACTTTTTTCACAATTAAACCGCACCGGACTTTAAATGAAACACAACAGTTAAATGGGTCAGTCGGACTTAGTTTGGCGCGTTCACGGTGACTCTGGGCTTTGATAAATTGCGACGTGTAGGGAGGGTGCTGTCTGGGACCGCTGGATTATTGCCATGTTCGCAGTGACTCAGTTGTTCAGTTGTGGCTACTTTTTCGGTTCGTTCCTCCGTTCCATTCCTCGTTCGGAGTGATGAGTGTGGCTGTGGGTGTTTGTCGTGGTGCGGTCGCTGTCTGTTCCATGTGTGTTTGCGTGCGCTGCGGGTGGTGCGGCTTTGTAGTTTACTGAAGTCGTGCTGGGACACCTGAGTGGATTCGTGTATAAGGCGCTCTGGACTGTGGGGCGCGCAGTCGTTTTTGATGCAGTTGGAGGCTTAAGAGCGCGCCCTATGGTGTAGAAAATACGGTATGTAAATTTGACTCTTGTGAGCTTTAAGTCACGTTAGAATGTAGTTACCTCCTTGAAAACATACCTGGAAATGTGCTTTGTTTCATTCACACCTGTTTGAGTGAGCCTTTATTATTAGTCTGTCTACATCTTCAAAGCTCAAAATGGTCTGTTCCACCTTGATGTCATGAAGTGGCAGTTTTCAAGGTAACACCTACCTTTTACCTTCCGTTAAGCATAAATGGGAAATTCCATGATTGAAATTATCCAAAAGATTTTAGTGAAGTTCTATGGTTTAGTGTGAATGAAACAAAACACAACTCCAGATAAGTTTATGTTGAGGAAACAACATTATAAAGATCAGAATATGGCATAATATGGGACCTTTAATAGTCCTAATAAAGCATGGACAAAGATTTTATTTGAAATGCACAAATGGTTTAAGAATGATTCAGGCTTAGCAGCTACTAAATGAATACCCTTACTCCTAACCTAACCTAATTTAACCTCTCCTGTGATGCTCAGGCTGCAGGACACAGAGGAGGGACACTTTTGGCCAGAAGGATGTTCCTCTCCTCAAACTACCCTGACAGTGATCTGCAGATCCTACCTGACCAGTCCTCCTGTTAAACTGCATTGGGATCTTTGGCATCTGTCTCACTTAATTTTACATCTTCTAGTCATGAGTTTATTGTGAATCCAATTTTCACTGTAGAATAAGTCTGGTGCATATGCAAACTAAGTATTTTTAAGAGCTCAGAGAAGATTTTGTATATATAGATTAAAAGGACAGTCCAGAATTTTGGACATAGGACCTCATTTCCTAGTGAGCCAGAGTGTTGGAGACGTGTGGAGACACTTTTTAAAATATTCCATCCAGTCCTTGTATTTGCAGAGGTCACTGGTGCTAGGCTAGTGCATGTCAATGGCCATAGTTAGCCTGCCACTAAAAACAGTCTTATGCCAGACTGTCGATGTGAATGTGTGTCAATAGAATAATTTTAGAAGTAAAATCAACCTTGCATTTGAAGGATTTATGTCTATTCCTGATCCAAATCTTGGCAGCGGTGGACTGATATCACCTAGCTTCTATCTTACTGGCAAAGTAAGAGCCGGAATTGCATCATCAACCTGTTTGTATATGACTATTGCGCTTAAAGCTTAAAAGGCCCATATTGCACTATTTTCTGATCTATGTTATAATGTTGTTTCCTCATCAAAAACAAACCCAGACTTTTGTTGAATTCACACAAACTCTGCATATTTATGATGAGTTCTTCTCTCAAACAGAAAACACTCTATTCCACCTTGTGATGTCATGTGGTAATACAGGTGCTCCACTATGTTTTTTTTTTCATTTGGATAATTTCAGACCTGGAAATACCAATCTCTAGTCATCAAAAGTAAAAGGCAGCTGTTAACTTGAAAACTACTACTACACAGCATCGCAAGGTGGAACAGAGCGTTTGACCTTTGAAAATGTCGACAGACTAATAACAAAGACTCACTCAAACACGTGTGAATGAAACAAAACACAATTACAGGGTATGTTTTTAACAAAGTAACTGCATTATAACATGGCTAAAAGTTCACAATCCATTTTGTGCAATATCGGAGCTTTAATGGGAGGAAGTTGAATACCATTTTACATAAGCCCATTACTTTTTCACATAATGACAGACGTGGACTTTATTGGGTAAATAGAAGGCTTTCTTACTCATCACTTTAATGTCAAGCTATATGCAAAATATATATGCAATGTGTTACTAATGAGTCCACTATCTAAACACCATTAATGGCTTTTACAGTGAGGAGCAGCCTTATAAATGACGTACAGAAAGTCCTCCGGGGGATTCGTACTGCTCTGCTCCTCTCGTAATAGACTATAATTTAGAACATAAACTAGATTATAAGCAGAGCCGGAGCAGTCATTTTTAGCACTGCTTTCATGTGGCGCTGAGTGCATTATAGACTGGGTTATACAATAGGTTTGGATGCAGCAGTGAGTCATGGGAAAGTGTTTGTTTGAGAAGAAAAAGAAAACTTTAAAGTAGAGAGGATAAATCTTTGTGCCAATAATAATACGCATATTGTTTATACAGTATAAAAATGAATGCGTATACCTTGTAATGGATTCTGATTTTTAACGACAACAAAAACAGCATTGAACTAAAGTTGTTTATCGGTAATACCCGCTCACTTTGTTCTCGGAGCATTTTACTGCACAGCTGAAATTTTGGCAAGCCAATATAAAAGGTACAGTGACTTTCTGAATGATTCCATGGAAAAAGAAAGATAAAACCATACTTTGGAACACTCTTCATGGAGATAGATCAGGTTTATGCCATAGAGTCAGGTTTATGGAGATGCAAGGCCGCTCACAGATAAATAGTAATTGCTTCTTAGGCTGCTTACTTACTTTAATTAATTTCATTGTCACTGATGTACATAAAACCTTTGCTTTTTGGGGCTTTAAAGTTGCACTGTGTAGCTTTTCTGCTGAGACAGAAGTGCACAATATTAACATTAACCTTAACAGGAAAGATGGAGGGTACATCACCTGCTCGTGGTAGATGCTTTGTCTACAGTATGGTAATAAAACGTTAGCCTGATTCATCAACCGGTTTCACTTTGTGGAAACTGTCTGACCTCGCAGGATTAGGATCTGTTCTCTTGACGGTAGGCGGGTACTTTTTATTTAACCAATCACTGCTATTTGGTTGTGGTGTATGTAATATGCCAAATCCTGTAGGAGGATTAACGTCTTTCCCCTTGATAAAATTCACCAAACATTCTCTTTGTTCCAGTTTAAAATCCTCGATCTTGGAAGTCATTGCAAACACAGAATGTCTGGCTTCGTCTACATCAATCTTGACCACTTTGTTTACTGTTGTGCTGTACCACAACAGGTATTTGAGTTTCACGTCATGGCTTCCGGGGTTCTTGCAAACCATCTAGTGTATTCCAATTCCTGACCTAGTTGCTGGAGAGAAATGAAATTGCGCAGAGGCACTATGTGGTGCCAGCCTGACTAATTAAACGTACCTTTGTCCACACAAACAAGCTGTGCTACCAGGCCAGTTTACATGTCAAATCTGTGGAAAGGCAGCCTGCTTACATTAAGATTGCAGGTATTTTTGAGTATTAAACATCAGTAATTTAGAAAATGCTAGATAACTATGTTTAATACCATACTCAACAAATAATAACATCTGGAGGGAGACAAGCATGTGTCCAGAAAAGTTACACAGTGCAATTCAATTTGTCAACTGGACAAACATTTATTTAGGTCAAAAACGTTTTGCCTCTCTTCCAAGCTGCTTCTTTAGTTCTGGTCAGAATACTGGAGGATACTGTCTTTTATCTGACTACTGCACTGCAACTACTCTGAAACTAACACCCTTCTTGTTTACAGTTTGTTGGCTAATGCTAATTTGACCCCACATTCATCTGCACTGAATGTGGGGTCAAATTAGCATTAGCATAATCATTCAGGGCCATAAAGAGTATTTTCACACTTCTGCATCTTTTTTATGGGGTTACAAACATATTGTTGGACACATCCTTGGACATTTCAAAAACATTCAGTCTGTAATGACTTAAACTTACCCTGAGGTGATCTTGGTCGATGACAGAGTGCTCCCCCTCATAGGAGATTATCACTTCGTTCTTGACCACCTGTGGCTCCGACCTGTATCCCTGTTTGACGATTTTAATTTTGAACGTTCCCTCCACCGACATCTCTTCTGCTTGGACAACAAAGCTAAACGAGTCTTTGGACTGTAGACTTTCGTAATTATGTTCATACGAAACAACGCCTTTCTTCAAGTCTTCCTGTGTGAATTCCGAAGCCTCAATTCCACTAACAATTATTCTACCATCTTGAGGGCCCGATGTGATCCTAAAAGTTATTTCGCTATCGTCTGTAATGTCCAAATTAGTTTCCGCACTTAGTAACGTAGTGTTAAGTGTTTTGGTTGCACCGTGATCGATAATTATCATACTATTGTTGACAAGTTTTAAGTAAGGGTCTCCTGCTTGGATTTGAAGGATCGCAGTAGTTTTGTGGAAGCCATCGGACACCTGCAGGGAGAATCGTTCTTGGTCTGCTCCGTGGTGTAAGAATAAAACTTTTTTGTCTCTCAAATCGGCTTGCGTGAATCGGAAAAGCGGCTGTGAAGGGTTGAGCGCTGAGACGATGTTGCCGGATAAGATGCCTTCACGTGCGTAGACAATTTGGGAATCGTTAAAACCAGAATCGTCATCCTTAAATTGAATGACATCAGTCGTTAGGAGACGCTGATCATGACGAACCACATTCAAAACTTTATCGACCACTCTGACTGGAACGTGCTCATTTTTGGTCTGAATTGTAATCTTAAAAATGCCTTTAATCGTTTCGTGATCATAGGAGCCTTGCGCTTCCTGGTCGAATGCGGAAAAGTGAAACTCATCGCTTGTTGTCTTGGATCCATCGTGTTTGTAAACCAGCCTATTAAGTTCTAGATCTTCATTGCTAAAAATCCGAATTGCTCCATCGAATCTCGGCATTCCCGATGGTGCATTTCTTATAATCCGCCCATACTTTGGTCCTTGGGTAATTTGGTACACAAAATCACCCATATCAGGCGTGTGCACCCAAAGATAATTTTTGTTAATGGTTTCCTCCCCACCTTGAAGCACTGTCAGCATTTCATTGGTCAAAACGGGAGCATCGGCAGTTGCTATAATGTTAATTGGATATGTATACAACGGTGAGTACTGATCCTGCGATACGACTCTGAATTGAAACGAATCTACGTTGTCCACAGCTCTTTGCACACGCACTTTGTAACTTAGTGTGTTGTCCAAAATGTCCTTCTGAGTGAAGACATCTCCTTCGCCCAATTGCGTATCCAGCAACTGCAGCACACCTAGCATTGGAGGCGTAACTACAACGTATTTTAACATTTCCGGATTTGCGTCTTGATCTCTGACCTCTGCGAAAAGTTGAGCTTGCTTGATTATTTTCATCTCTCCACCGTAGACTTCAAGAGGAACTAAATTGGATACCTTGATTTGTGCTGGTGCAATGTTTACCATAAAAGTATTGTTCCAAAGACTGTCCCAAATGAGCGTTGAATTGTATCCGTTCTACCACAACATCTTCCTGGTCGGCTGAATCAGTGCTGAAGTACTTGAGTCGCTCTTGTTCGAGATCGGATTGGTGAAAGCTTGAAACTTGCTTGTAAACGCCGTAATCCGTCATAACGTTGAGTTGACCGTACAGCAATGGCTCGGTAACGTTAAAAAGAATATCTCCATTGCGAGGATTGGAGAGCAGAGCTAAGTTTTGAATTCCAATAGACGCGTTGCTTCCTTGGGTCAAACGCAGCCCGGTATTCGTTACAATCGTCATATGCGGACGAGTAGCAACGAGACTGAAAGTTGTAGAATGACTTTCGGATTGCCCGTCGGATACTTCTAATGTCATTTCACTGTCTCCTCCCTTGTGTACAAAGTAGATATTTCCATCTTTCAACTCTCTGCAAGTGAATTCTGAGATCGGGTTGCCAGGTTGTTTGTCATTTTCAAGGTAACCGACTTCGAAAGGAGGCTCCGATGTCACTGTTACAATCAACCCGTTGCAACGAGTGTCCGATTCCAAGATTCTGATAAGGTCCGGGTTCAATCTCGTTCTTCCCTTTTCCGTAATCGTAATTTCACCTCCGCTAAATTGTGGTATATCATTGACGGGGATTATTTCAACAGGTAGTAAGTAACTTTGAACAGATTTTAAACACTCTGGCAAGTTGTCAATACCTTGCGCCACTGCTTCAATATGGATTTGATCAGCATGCCTTTCATTTCCATCATGCATGTACTTAATTTTCTTATCAACCAAATCTTGCAAAGTGAATTTCTTAAAGCGTCTGTTGGTTGTATTGATATCAACCAGGCCGTAGAAGGGATCACTTTTTAGCGTGACGGTGATTTGAGATTTTTGCATGCCCGCTCTGCTAAGGTCAAAAGTTGGGAGTAGGTTTTTCATGCCAATTAAAACCTCTCCTCCTTCCGGGACAAGAAGAGGGGTGACGTCAAGTAGTTTAGTCACGTTTTTGAAAATATCCGGAGTGTCTTTATTTGGGAAGCAATGCTGTTCGGGCAGCACGGGTTCGTCATAGCGAAAAATAGGTGGGGCAGTTGTGGCCGTTTCCGTGTCGTCATAACTGGAGTAATCGTATTCGTCCCCTTCACATTTCACGTGTATGTCTTTGGTCACCAGTGCGTCCTGCAGGCTCCTGTCCTTATTGTTGACTTTGATTTCCCCCAAGCAACCTATGAATGATTCAGCAGTGATCTCCTCCTCCGCTCTACTCAAAGATCCGCTGTCACGAAATACCTCTTTCATTTTCTCTTGAATTCCTCCCAAATAAAGATTACCAACCAAATCCAGTTTTTGGGAAGAATCAAACGGAAGGGACGAGACTTGGCTATCCACGTGAATTTCAAATGATTTTTCAGCGACTACAATTTTAACCCTGTGCCACTGGTCATCATCTACTTGGACGTGCCCGTTCTCAATTACTTCCATGCCGCTATCCAAGTCGATCACGCCTTTTATAAAACCCCCCATAACTCCAACCGCAATGAAATCACTGTCTAAACCTGGGTGGAACACTAGTAACGCATCTTCAATTGTGGTTTTCATTAGAAATTCCAGCGTCCTTGCTCCTCCGGTGGCTTTGCTCCAAGTCGAGAAAGATATGAACGATTGCGGCGTGCTAAAACTGGTTGTCTCGCCGTCTGCTGCCTCAAACTCGCCACTGCAGGAATCTTTAGTATCGTGACACTCTTTGAAGGCATTGCTGAGGATGTCGAACTGATGAGATTCGAATCTGACGTCGGACATGCACCCACGGAAAGGCGGGATGGCGTTGCTGAGGTAGGAGGCGTCCAGGTTTCCGGTGCCTCCGAGCCAAACGCCGACGTCGATGTTGAGCTCCTCTCCGTCGGTGGATACGGGGACGTAGGTGGAGAAACTGTCGTCTATGGTCATGGTGAGGGTGTCTTCGGTGAGGCTCAGGGAGATCTTGTGGTCCAGGAGGTTGTTGAGTTGGACTCCAGAAGATGAAGACAAGGTCACCTCCCCCGCACCCAGGTTCATTCGAGCCTAAGAGGAAAGAAAAGCACTAATTAGAGCCAGTAGAGCTGCAAACAGTAAGTAAGATTTCAGTTGGTCGACTAGTCAAATATTCTGTAAAAATTGCTGTAAAACCCAGCAATTTTTACAGAATATTTACAGCTACTACTACTACAACTGTTACTACTTCTGCTACGACTACCGCTTGTCTCCCACTTGTTATTGCTATACTAGGAATGTTCCTCAGTATGGCATTAAACATATCTATCTCCTTGAAGTCAGATCTGTGGAGAGACGCCTCTGCCCACAGTAAGAATGCATGATATCAAGGTATTTTTAGAGATGAAAACTTACTTGAATGAATAATAGATACAGGGTTCCAACTCTTTTTCACAATTTTGAAACGTTTCCATGACTTTTTCATGACCTAAAGTGAATTTTCCATGATTTTACAGCACCTACATGTGTAGAATTGATCATACCTTTAGGGCTAAATATGAAATGTTAATCCTTTCCACTCCACCTTATGGTTTGGTATTAGTTTTTTAACATTCAAAATCCTGTCAGTGCATTTACTGTCGTCTCTTTTAAACAAAAGGTGCAGACATTCGGAAATAATCATATAATCAATCAATAGCCTCATGAGAACTTAACAGAACGCTGTAGTTGTGTGAAAGACATACTAAAATTCCATGACTTTTGACTTTCGATTACAAAACTTTCATTGACATTTGATTTACAAAATTCTATGACTTTTCCAGGCCTGGAAAATGACTTTTTCCATTTCTCTGACATTTCCAGGATTTCCATGATCGTGGAGACCCTGTAGATAGAAAGTTTAATGCCATACTTTGGAACATTCCAGAAAAAAAGCAATAATATCCCCATGGAGACAAGCAGGTGGCTAATGTCCAATGTACAATGTAAACATAAATGTACTTTTATTACTACTACAATTTACAATACAGTTTAATGCTATAGCAATGAAATATTTTTAGTTTCCTTGTGTAGATGACTAATGTCAAAAACTAATACACGAGCTTATGTTGATGCTGTGTTTTTTCTTTTTACTTAAAATACATTCCTATTAATTACTTAAGCGATCCTTATTTACACACCTCACGATTCTATGTAATTAACGCCATCAAAACAACACACAACTAATCAATGTACCGGCCTCAATAGGGTTATGTAAAAATGAAATCAATTAGCATTAGCTCTAATTTAGCATACATACATAATATTAACCATTTGTCTCAGTAGGCTGCAATACACATGAGCGAGTGAGTCCATTTTCATTTCCTCTGCCTGTATTCTTTTATAGCTCAAAGGGATTTTCATTACAATATTGGACGTTGTGGTACAGTTCAAATATTAGTATTATTGCTATATCTGAGAAGCTTCATGTGGATTATTAAATTTAATAAAAGTAAAAGAAAAACACACCGTCTATGTTACTTTTGTGATAGGGCCGCTGCTCGTCTCCATGGAGATGTTATTGCTTTGCCTGGAATGTTCCACAGTATGGCCTCAAACTTTTTTGGCGCTACTAAACATGCATTAACGCTGTGAGTGGGCTCGCCTCTCCACAGATCTGACCACATGCTTGTCTCCATGGAAGTAGATAAGTTTAATGACAGTCTGGGATATTCCAGGCAAAGCAGCTCCACCAGAGAAGTTACGCAGTGCACCTTTAGCTTTTTTTATCCTTCCTTGTAAGAAAATAAATAAATGAATTAATGAAATATTAAAGGTGCATTGTGCAAGTTTTCTGGTGGTCTCCATGGAGATGTTATAGCTTTGCCTTGAATGTGAGCATTTATTCATTATGTGTGTGTCTGTTGCTCAAAAATACAATCATTCTCTCTGTGAAAAGCGTTGCCTCTCCAGAGATCTGACCTGTAATGTAGCCTATAGTTGTATCTAGATTGGATAGATAGGGTTAATCTCTACCGTGAAACACTGTAGACAAAGCGATAACATCTCCATAAAGACAAGCAGGTGGCACCAAGAAAATATCGCAATGCACTTTTCTTGTAGAAGGTCCTCCACCTGCTTGTCTCCATGGAGATGTTATTGCTTTGTCTGCAAATGTTCCATGGTATGACATCAAACATATCCATCTAGTATTTATTCATTATGCTTTTTTTATTTTTATTGCTGAAAAAATACAATACCGTACTTTTTGGAATATGAAGTCACATTTTTTTTCATGGTTTGATTGTTTCCTGCGACTTACACACCAGGTGCGAACTTATATATTCAAATGTTCTCACTGACAGTCGCGAGAGGCTCTAGCCTTGTGTGTCAGTATCTGCTGCTCCTATTACTCATGTCTCCTGCAGAAAGAGCCTCTGTCCTGTCTGTATCATGTCTGTCGATCGCACCATTACTCCTGTTACACTGAAAATTTTAAATTTAAACAAACTCTTAAAGACAACTGAGAAGACTGAACACAAATGCCCCCTAAAAGAAAATCTGATTTTGCTGATTACAAGATGCAAGTAGTGAAATCTGCAGCCGAAAACAGCAATCGAGCAGCAGAAAGAAAATTTGGAGTGAGCGAGAAACTTGTGACATGCAACTTTCTTGGAAGTCATTGGACGGATCGACAAAGCCTGGACTTCAGTCCATCCTGTCGGAATTCAGAAAGGCCGGAATAATTTTAAATGGAACTGATGCTGATTCTGACGACAGCTACACAGAAGATTAAGCTAATTTAGTGGATTTAGTGATTTGGAGTGAGATGGAGAGTTTGATAAACTTGTTCTGTTCTGTTGTTTATGTTATAGTTTATCTGAAGAACTGTTCATATGTGACATTAACAGTCTGTTGTTCTCTGTTCTATTGTTATTACTAGAACTTCACTTTCAAGATAAAATGTCAGTTCCTGGTCTCAGATTTTATAAAATAAATTTCCCCCAAAAAGTGCAACTTATATGTTTTTTTCTTCTTCATTATGCATTTTTTGGCTGGTGTGACTTATACTCTGGAGCGACTTATAGTCCGAAAAATATGGTAATTCCTTCTGTGAATATGCATGACTCTCCACAGATCTGAACTGTAATGTAGTTGCAACTACCTTGTGATACACAGGTTTAATCTATACTGTGGAACATTCTAGACCAGACATGTGCATTGTACAGCTACATACGACCCTTTTAGTCCACTCTGACTGGCCCCTTTAAGATCATTTGGAATTACAAAATAAACACATGTTATATGTTATATGTTATGTTAAATGACATTTTTTGTGAAGCAACCTCACTTTTTCATTACTTAGTCATAACATAAACTCTTACCAGTCTGACCTTCTCGTCAAAACAATGCTATTTATTGCTTTTTTATAAAGAAATAAGCAGAATAGAGTTGAGCATTTTGGCTCCGGCCCGCCACAATATTTTCTTTTTCTCATGTTCCCCCGTGGAAAAAAAAAAATTGCCCCTGTTCTAGACAAAGCAATAACTTTTACATGGAGACATTAGGTGGCAGACCCTAGAAATGTTACACAGTGCACCTTTAAATTACATGTAATAAAGCACCCACCTGCACTTTCCCATTCTGCAGCTCGAGGAACAGGTAGTCATCGGTGCCAGCGGCGAGGAGCAGAAGCCCACTCCTCCTGCTCGTCTTCATCACCAGAGACAGCTCAAACGTGGAGATGTCCTGGAACGGCTTGAGCACGCAGTAACTGTCCCCGAAGTACGACGCTGGAAACACAAACAAATACATGCGTTAGTTGGATTGAAGAAGAATTCATATTTATTCGTATGCAGTATAGTATTAGAAAACCGTTTGAAAGTAGACATTTTAACCCACTATACACTGTGGAATGGAAATCAATTAACCAACTTTAGCTGTCATGAAACAAATATACAGTATCTTTAGAAGGTCTGAGCTGCAACAAATGAAAACCATGATGAACTAATAATCAGCCATACAGTTATGTATTCTACCCTCTACAGCTCAAATCTTACTACATCTTACCAGAAAAAAATGACAAAGATCTCCACACTAATGCAAACAAATTGTACACACGATCAATACTGAACCCCAAAATATACTGTCCCAGCTTTTATATATACTGAACGATAAGTCAATATTGTAATTATCTGTTGTTAACTGTACCAAAGAATCGATGCTTCCCTCTTTAATGCGACTAGTGATTAAAAATGTTTTCGATTGCTTTCACGATCATTTGCAGTTAAACAAACACTGGTACACAGTTCAGTGTTTTCTCTGATGGTATGTACAGTTTTTGGTTTTGTTTTTTTTCCTTCTCAAAATGGCTTCAGAAAATGATAATATCATTCAACCCCAAAGATGTGATAGTTGAAAAGACTAAATCTCCCCTACAGTACACAGAGAACTGCCCTCTGTCTGAAAGTAGAAGCAACTATGGCGTTCAACAGTGAAGGAGTCAAGGAAGTAGTAGTTTTTATTTATATAACGCTTTTCACAGACATATGTCCCAAAGACACTTTAATGAACTTTAATCATTCAGTCTACACTCAGTAGTGGTAAGTTACTATTGTAGCCACAGCTGCCCTGGGGCAGACTGATGGAAGCAAGGCTGCTAATCTGCACCATCGGTCCCTCCGACCACCACCATCACTCATGCACACACCATTTTCATACTAGGCAATGTGGGTGAAGTGCCTTGCCTAAGGACACAACAGTTTTTAGGTTTTTTTTTCAACTGGCACCCCCCTGTGGCTCCTGATTTTCCCAGTGGTCTCCCATCCAAGTTCTAACCAGGCCCTGGTTAGCTTCTGAGATCTGACGGGATCAGGCTTCAACAAGCCGGTGCGGTCAATTTTCCATAATTTTTTCCCATAGAAAAAAATCTATCAAATCAAATACTAAGAGTTTAAATACATTGTTTTCCAGGTGTCATATGTAACGTTTTGGTTGGGGGGTTCCAAGATAAACATAAAAAAAATCCTAGACAAAATGTAATTCTGACTGTGAGCAGGGACGCCTCTCCACAGATTTGACCTGGAACTTGACCTGGTTTGGTCTCCATGAAGATAGAAAGGTTTGATACCAGACAAAGCAATAACATCTCCATGAGGAAAAGCATTTGACACACCCTCCACTAAAAAAGTTACATAATGCACCTTTAAATCCAGAAATGTCATTTAAAACATGAGATTCTGTGAAATGTTTTAATAACGTCACAATAAATTTCAGAAACATGATTTAAAATAAAATGATAGGTCTTGCACTTATTAGTTAGAACGTAGCTGATTATCAAGATTTCAAACTTTTAATATGTATTTATTTCAGAATGTCTATGAGAAAATGGAGTTGAGCTTCACTGCCATCCTTGGAAAAATGTGCACTATCGCCATTAGTGGGAAACAATTGAATCCCAAAGTCCTCAAAATGACACCTACGAAACAAGAAACACCCATGAATAGACTTAAAATATGTGCAGTAATCTTACTAATGTGTCCCCTGGAGCGAGAGATTTGCCTGTATTTGGTATGTACACGATATCATTAATCCACAACCAGAGATCTGCAAACCAAATCGCCCTTTTGGGATTAATAAAGCTGTTGATTACTTGAAAAAAAAAAAAGAAGAAAAAAAACACGCTCGCTTTCCCGCCTCTATATTTTAATACGAAACCAATTACCCTGCTCTTCCCTCATTCTCAGGAGGATGGAGAGGCTGGCTCGGGGCACAGACTAATACCAGGATCCGTCAGCTGCTCCGGGGCCAAAGACACTCTGTTTGAGCCTCAAAGGACTGCCTCACTACCCCATCCGTCATCACCCCCGCAGAGGCTTTCCGGGCACCAGCGCACCGGTAATGTAGGCTTTCCCAGACTTTAGCTGGCTCCTCATTTGCGCCGATATGCTAATTCAGCCACCTGCCTCGGTCCGTGATCTCCGAGGCCCCGCGCGAAATGTAAAACACCGAGGAAGTCAATTATTTCCTTGTGCACATCCTCTGAAATTAGTCTGGATCAGTGCCAGATTCCGAAGCCGGAGTTTTTTCGCTAAGAGGTTTGAGAGGGAAGGTTTTGCGTTATAGCGAGGTACTGAGACTGTCGGGGAGTTCGAGAGACCCTAAAGTCATTGTGGGCAAGTCTGCTCTGATGTCCGCGGGTATTTCGACGCTAAATCTCCATGGAGACGCACTGATGGTCAGACCACACATCAGAAAAACCTCATTGCATGGAAATAGAAAGTTAAAACAACACGGAACATTCCCAGCGGACATGGATACATTTTTTTTTATGTTGGACTGTGTAAAGAAGTGGGCTAAGGGAGCGTGACGTCAGCCATAGTGTTCAGTCCAGTCCAGTCAAATGAAGCTCATGGAGGTGTGGAGTTATACAGCGAATTTGGAGAGTTCCAGATGAGGAATAGGAATTGATTTAGGGACAAAATAAAGGATCACGTAGAGCGGGTCAAGACAAACATCTATTTATGTTGAACTTTGGAAGATTATAGTCAAAGGAGCAACATTTCCATGGAAACAAGCAGGTTTTCAGTGCAATAAACTTAACATAACCAAAATAAAGAAAAAGAAAAAATTAAATAAACTAACAAACAGAAGCTTTTATTTATTGGCTAAAATGTGACATACTGGGGCTTTAAGTGACCATAGACCAGTGTTTCCCAGACTTTTTTTCTGGGAACACATATTTTAAAAGTCACAAACTTTCGCAACCCAAGTCCATTGACATTACTGTATTTTTTGGACTATAAGGTGCACTTAAAATCCTTTAATTTTTTCAAAAATTGACAGTGTGCCTTATGTATTAATTCTGGTTGTGCTTACTGACCTCAAACAAATTTTATGTGGTACACAGCCCTCAAAATCTGTCAAAATGTTTTAGTCAGACTTTGGTAAACTATGAAGCCGCACCGCTTCATGAATTGTCAGAGCATTACGGCTACTGTAGTCAGGAGCCTCGCGGAGTAAGTCCGACAGAAGCTGACCATATCAGTGTACAAGGAGCGAGCTTTTTTTTTTTCAGCGCTTATGGTTTATGTAATTTATGGCTTTAAGTTTTGTTTCTGTAGAACATAAACAAATGTGCGCAAAGCTGCATTAAACACATTAGTACTCGATGTATATGTGAGTCCTCCGTAGGAAGTAAAAAAAATAAAAACACATAATACACATTCACCAAAACAGGGAGGCAACGCCAGAAGAATTACGGAAAGAACTGTATATTGCAGACTTACATGCAGATTGCTACATACAAGGCGACCATTAAAAAAAATGTGACCCAGAATGCCATAAACTGTATAAAGAAGTGATAGTACGGCTGCAGACAAATGAAGCTCGCTGAGGCTAGCAGCTAAGGGACGAATTAAGAGCCGAGTTCCGTATTTGGAATATTAATTGATTTACAGACAAAATGGCGAAATAAAAACGGCAAGATCATTTACAGCAGATTAATACGAACATTTTAATATGAAGGGGCGATGTTTTTTCAATGTAAAGCGAATTGGAACCAGAGTTGTTGGAGCCGGAAGAGCACCCATGCTCACTTCCTATTTGGAACATGGTGGTTAGCAGGTTAACGATGTCCAGTCATTAGGGGTGTAATGGTATGTGTATTCGTGCCAAACCTCGCGACCTCTGTCCCGAGTGAAAGAATATTTTCAACCACTGGGGACTTTGTAACTGCAGCAGATCTGCACTTACTGCAGACGATGTGGACAAGTTGTTTTTTCTGTCCAGAAATATGAAGATTGAGTAAAAGTTCATGCTGGAACTGTTAGTGCTGCGATTTACTTTTTTAAAAGTTTTGTTTACTGTTTACAAGGAATTTATTTTTTATAATATTTAATACATTTGTTGCTTATTTGAGAATATTTTATATCAACTTATCAGTATTACCAAGTAGCACGTTGCACTTAGGTTATTTTCTTGTTTGTATAATGTTAAAACAAATTGTTGGTTTAATAAAAACACACATAAAAAACAAGAAAATAGTTGGTCTCATACTGTACTGAAAATGAACCAAACTGTGACCTCAAAACCAAGGTACATACCAAACTGTGATATTTGAATTATGTATCCAGTTGATAGTTTTACCCCATAATGCGGAAACTTATAGCCAAAGGGATAACAAACAAACACAACCAAAAGGAAACAAACAAAAAGTTTGTACTTATTTATTTATTTTTGGCTAAAAAGTTACATACTTGGGCTTTAAGTTTGACACAGTTCCATAGACAGCACAGATTAAAAAAAAAAAAAGATATTCCATGTACTGACTCGTCTGTTGACAGAAGATGATTTGTGGTCATGCCCAACATTTAAGTGGATTTTGTCTTTGCTTTTCTTCTATGTTCTTCTAGGTTATAGATAGTTTATATATAAAAGTGAAAGAGACTTCCCAGTAGCGTCTCTGCTGGTGGTCTTCATGTTCTAATGTGTCATACCACAACAACTCAGCCTCTCTCTCTCTGTTTCTGTCTCTCTCTTCTCTCCCTCTCTCTGTCTCTCTCTTTTAAAAACAAGAGGCCAAACATTCACATACCAAACTATAAATGGACACATCAGCCAACCAAAGGGACCTCATGCATCTTTGTAACAGGCTTGTACATCAAAAATCAATATCCAGATAGTAATCAAGAATAAAAGTAGAATTAAAGGCATATCATTTAAGAGCAAAAAGTCTATAATGTTTGTTATTAAATGATTGAGAATAAGGAGGGACTATTTTTATGTATTTTTTGTTCATGTATCAAAATTAGCATTACATATCTAGCTTTAACCATAGTAAAAGATTTTTTTTAAAGTGTGCAATTGTGAAATGTTTGTATTTTGAGAACGTACCTCTCAGTATTAAATGTGCACTATGGACATTTTTTGTTTGCTGTACCTTTGCCCCAGAATGTACTAAATGGTAATACACTTTCATTTATTCAATTGCAGATGTTCATATTGCAATAAATAAATGTGTGAAATCTGCTTGTTTCCATACTGTGGAACTATCCAGGTAGGGCTGGGCCGATATGGATTTTTTGAGCCAATACCAATATCAATATTTAGCTTTTAAAATTCATGGCAAGGCCCACAAATATTAGCCAGGCTGGCGACACCTAGTGCCTCCGCTCAATTTCATTTCTCTACAGTGACTAGGTCAGGAATTGGAATACACTAGACGGTTTGCGGAATGCGAGTCCGGGTACCAGCCAATCAGTGAAGAGCTGTGAAGCCATGACGTCAAACTCAAGCTCCTGTGTGGGTCCCTTTTGTGAACCAGCACAACAGTAAAGAAAGCGGTCAAGATGGATGTAGACGAAGACAGACATTCTGTGTTGGCAACGAATCCCGAGATCAAGGATTTGGTTTGGTGAATTTTATCAAGGGGAAAGACGTTATTGTCCTTCTTCCTATGGGATTTGGCGCATTACATATGTCACCACCAAATAGCAACGATTGGTTAAAAAAAAAGTACCCACCTACCATCGAGTGAACAAATCCTAATGCAGCGAGGTCAGACTGTTTCCACAAAGTGAAGCTGGCTGATGAATCAGGCCATACAAATATACCCTAAGTGTATCTAAAGATCACAAATTCACTTTTGTAAAAAAATTATAAATAAAAAAAAAATTCTGGAATAAATTACAGAAATATAACGCTCTCCTATTTTGATTTTTACTCTTAAGTCTGTTCTAAAAGGGAATCTGTATCGATACTGGCCGATACCAATAGGTAAAAAACTTCAGCATGCGTCATGTTTCTGTAATTAAGAATAAATCAGCTTTACAATTGTTACCAGTAACAGCTCAACAGCTCCACACCTGAAATCATTTTAATCAATCCTCCCAGTCCACCTCCCATATCAGCAACAGTCTCGGCCTCTCGCTCCCAACATCTCCCCTGCTGCCAGAAACCTCGGCATCATTTTTGATTCTCGCCTCAACTTCAACCTTCACATCAAAAAAGTCACTCAATCCTGTTTTCTTCAGCTCTGCACAATTAGTAAAATCAAATCCTCTCCCGCCTTGATCTTGAAAAAGCCATCCACACGCTCATCTTCTCCCATCTAGACTACTGCAACTCCCTCCTCTCCGGCTTCGACTCCAAATCCATCTCCCGCCTCTGACTGGTTCAGAACCCAACAGCTCGATTCCTCACAAGACATCAACACAGCTTCTCTTCACTGTGAGTTTTAGAATCGATTTTAAGATTTGACTGATCACTTTTAAAGCTCATTTAGGTCTTGCACCAAGTTACATTTCAGAACTTTTAACCCCGTACGAGCCTCCCGCAGCCTTAGATCCTTAGTCAGGTCCCTGTCGTTGTTCCAAAGTCCAGGCTCCGGACGAAGGTTTTGGAGCATTTTCAATCTGGGTGCCTCGACTTTGGATAAACCTGCCTGAGGAGATAAAGCTCGCACCATTGGTATCATCATTTAAATCACTTCTTAAAACACATTTTTATTCAATTCCATTAACTGGTTTTAGCTTGATTTTATTCTGTATTTATTTTATTCTGTTTCTTTTTATTTATTTATTACAATTAATTGGATTGTTTGCACCATTGGCTGTTTTTTACATCACTGTGTAAACCTTGCTTTTAAAAGTGCTTTCTAAAAAAACATTTAGATTTAATAAAAGCTCTATATGATTTGATCACGTCTCGAGCTCTGGAGATGTGTTGGTAATTAAAATCTTACATACAGTCCCTGAACGTCACTGGTAACTTTCAAACTATACTGCTTTCATTTGTGTGGTCTCTTCTCTTCCTCTCCGTTATCACCCTCTCTTTCTCTTCCTCTCCCCCTCGCTCCCACTTCAAAAAGCCCAGATAATCATGTGGATGTCAGCACAGATGAAGGCAGAGCTTTTTACTGTTCTGCCAGGACTTATGTGACTTCACTTAGAGGCATTTGGCTTCGGGATCCGGGTCGTAAACAATGGGATTCTGTGCAGTCAGCAGTACACGGCCCGGTCTCCACGGTGACGCTACGAGGTCTGACAGAGCACAAAACTCCAGCTGACATGTTTGTTTCATAAGCAAATAAAATAAAAGTCCAAACATGAAGCTGCTGCGTGTACGGCGTTATCGTGTCATGTAAAAGTTATGGTTGAAGTGAGACGCAAACCAGGCCGAGTGACAGATCAATAAAACAAGACAACAGGAAATAGGAAGTGAGCGTGGGCGCGCTTCTGGCTCTATCAACTGTGGATACAATTGACTTTACATTGGAAAATCGTCGCCCCTCTCTCTAGAACTGCAGCAGTGAGCCTCGTCATTTTGGTTTTAAAATGTTCGTATTAACCCACTCTACGTGATCCTGGTGTTTTTATTTCGGTATTTTGTCTGTAAATAAATTCCTTTTCTTAATATGGAACTCAGCTCCACACTCGGTCTGATAACTGCAGACCTCGGTGAGCTTCATTTGACTGGAGCTGAACGCTGTGGGTGATGTCACACTCTCTTAGTAAACTTCTTTATACAGTCTATGGCTCAGCTCTGTGAAGACTGACCCCCCTCACAGGAACAATACATCATTTTCAAGGTATTTCTTAGTAACTAAATGCCTGTAATTAAGAGGGGCCATATTATGTTATTTTCTGATCTGTTACAGTCTCGTTTCCTCATCAAAACAGACCTGGAGATGTGTTTTGTTTCATTCACATGTTTTAAATGAAACTCCTGCATTAGGGTGGTCCATCCAAGCATGGTAAAAAATAAAATTTCAGATAACCTCAATTGGAACCCTGCATTATGATCCAAAAGATGATTTAGGAAGAAAATTTGAAGAAAAAGGAGATGTCTTAGAGGTTGCTTAAGCTGCATGAAGTTTCCTGGAAATTGACTAATTTTGCGTTTTCAGCAGTGTTGGGCAGATTACTTTGAAAAAGTAATTATAGTTCCTAGTTACTTCTCCCAAAAAACTGAGTTAGTAACTGACAGCACAGCACACAGCATATCAGTGAGTTTGACCACACGAGCTGAAATCACACCAGCAACCCGTGGGCAGTGTTGGGGAGTAACAGATTACATGTACCAGTGTTATGTAATCAGAGTACAAATGATGAGTAACTGTATTCAGTTAGAATCACTGTTTCAGTGAGCGGTAATTGGATTACAGTTACTTTGTTGAAATATATGGGTTACATGGCGGTATTTTCCTGTTTTCACATTTTGGGCTAAACCAGGACTAAACCAGGACTAAACCAGGTCTAAAACCAGGACTAAACCAGGTCTAAAACCAGGTCTAAAACCAGGACTAAACCAGGACTAAACAATGACACCTAACAGTAGAGTGGACATAATTTAAGGCAGCAGTGATCTCATATAAAAATCATTTCTCTATCAATAATATTTTTACTAAGGTTAAGGAAAGACTGGGCCTTTTATTGTCTTTTAGCAGACACATCTTTTGTTAAGATCCTCGTCTTTGCTTCTCTACAGTAAACAAAAGCCTGTTCACGGAGACTTGGGCTCAACAGACAATTTGAAGAGAACAAACAAGAATTTTCAGGATGTGGTTGGTACATTCATGTTGTTTTAAAAAGCATGACAATATCAAGTAATCCAAAGTATTCAGATTACATTACTCACCTTAATTAACTTAATGGATTCCGTTACAAACTACATTTTGGGGTATGTAATCTCTAATCAGTAGGGGAATACATTTTAAAAGTCACCTTCCCAACACTGGCCGTGGGTTAGTGAATCTGACTGCTCAACCAATGATGTTTATGTGGAGAGCAGGATTGGAGCCGCCAACCTTTGGATCAGTGGACAAACACTTAACTGACCTTCTGTCATTATAGTAAAAGTAAAGTTGCAAGTTTCAGTTTGTGTTTGCTGAATAAAATGACAAATTACCTGAATACGTCTTATTTATTTGGTCTGCTATAGTACAGGCACTATAGGGGCAATTTTCAAATGTCTTGAGCAACCTCTAAATATTAATTAATTCACATAAAATTTGGGCCCAGATATTTTGGCCAGATATGGAACCAAAATCTAATCTCATCTAAAAAAATAAAAAAATAATTAAAAAAATGGACCACCCTAATCCTGCATATTTAAACTGAGTTCTTATCTCAAACATAAAACTTGTGATGTCATGTGGTGATACAGGAAGTGCTCCACTGTATATTTAAATGGTAAATGGTCACATTTTTACACAGCACCTTTCCACATTCAAGGCTCTCAAAGCACTTTACATCAAGGAACCAAACACACAATCATTCACCAGTGAACACAGACAGAGACTTCTTGCCCAAGGACACAATTACATTCATCTGTGGGAGCCAACATGTGGGACATGGGATCTAACCGCTCAACCAATGACGTTTGTAGGGTCTGAACCACCAACCTTTGGATCAGTTGACAAACGCCCAAAGAACTGAGCCACTGTAGCCTCCATACAGCTTCACTAGAATTATTTGGGTAATTTCAGCCCTGGAAATGACAAACTACTGAACAAAAGGGTAAAAGGTAGATGATAACTTGAAAGCTATTACTTCATGACATCACAAGGTAGAACGGAGCATTGTGATCTTTGGAGACGTAGACAGACTAATAATAAAGGGTTACTCAAACATGTGTGAATGAAGGTAACAACATTATAACATGACTTAAAGCTCACAAGAGTCAGTTTTGCGTAATATAGGACCTTACTCTGCCTTACAGGTTTTACATCTGCCCTCTACTGGTAACAAAAATCAAAATAAACTTACAGACTGTAGCTTTAAATTCATTTTTAAAGCACTCAAGCAAAACGTCTAACTTTCAGAATCCTACATCTCAATTTGGAAAACTACGTGGGCTCCATCTTTTCCCAAAGGCAACCGCGCTAACAAAGGATTTAACAACGACTTTAAATGCGGCTTTAGGTGAGTGTGTGTGTGGACGGGGACAGTCATGTCGGCACTATCCCGCCCGGGGGCCCCTACCTCCAGAGACCGGCGTATCCTTAATGATACAAGCACCACCCCTGGAGCCTGCGCACTGTACCCGGGCCTCCAGTTCATTAGTTCCAGCTCACAGTGGAAGAGGCTGCGAGAGCGAGACTGGAGAGCGAGTTTTCAGTTTACAATGAGGCAGGTGCTGTGACTGTGTTCTGCTGTGAACGGGAGTCGAGATTTTCAGAGTTTGTTTGGGAGGTTGTTTGGGAGGAGGTTAGAGCGACTGAACAAAGAGAAATAAGATGTAAGAGTCAAAGAGGAAAATAGAACTTTCGAAGCAGTTCTAATAATGAGGAAGTGTCACGCAAAAAGTATAACTGATGTGAAATATTTAAATGAGTAGCAAAGTAAACATTAAAAACACTGTTATATAGATCCGTAACAGCAGTAGTCACGATAGTTAATGTTATTTTGCTATTGAGTTTCTATTTCATTTCAGACTAATTCACCTTATTGCGTAAAACTGACTCTTGTGAGCTTTATGCAATGTTATAATTTTGTTTCCACATCAAAAACAGACCTGGAGTTGTGTTTTGTTTTCACAACACTAGGGGGCTAGGATATAAAACTGGTGTTCATGTATAAAAAAATGGAGCGGGAAAGTTAAGTACCCAGTGTGACCCCGGGGTCAGAATCCTATTATGGACTACTGACCCCCCTATGAAAATCTATATTTTATGAATAAAGAACTTGAATTCTATAAAAAAAACTTTGAATATTAATACTATATCTGCAAATAAAAACATACTGACATATTTAAGAGTGTTTTTTAAAGAACTCAGATGCATTTTTTATGTTGATTATAACTTTTGAATGTTAAAAATTACTTAGTTGTTTAAACACATGTTTTACTGAAAATGAGATAAGTAGTTGTTAGTTAGTTAGGTCATCAAAGTGATGTATAATGATTTGGAATCTTGTTAAAATAGACAGGTCAATTGAGTAGTTAAATATGAGAAGATATGAGAAGATTTAATAACACAACATGACTAAATTCAAGGTCGTTATCCTTCCAAACCATTGCCTAAACTGACATTATGATTAAGGATTATCTGAACATGGCAAACTAAAAACCATAATAATGTAAAATACAATATAAAAAGTGACAAGATTGCTATGTATATGCAATTTTAACAATATGTCACATTTACACAAAATACCAAGTCGTTATCCATCAAAACAATCCTTAAAATACCTTCAAATATAGTAAATATGTATATATTGTCTATATATATATATATATATATATATATATATATATATATATATATATATATATATATATATATATATATACTACTAAAAGAAAAAAGTAAGAGGAGTCAAAATTCTATGGGGGGGGGGGTCACTTTACTATAGCAGTATGTTGACCCCAGGGTCAATATACTTTGGGGGTCAAGATATTATCTCACACCAGAAATGTATGTAGAGCAGTGGTAGAGACAGCACGGTGGCTGAGTGGCTAGCACTC